TAAACAATATACAGTTACTGCCTCATCCATCTAACAGCCCAGATCTCAATCCTATTGAGCATGTATGGGACATGATGGGTAGGAGATTACGTAACTTGGAGAGGTCTCCTGCTAATCTGCAAGAACTTCAGAGAGCTCTACATGAAATCTGGCACGAGATGCCTCAAGATTCAATCAGAGCATGCATTAATATGCAAGAACGTTTAGGAGAAGTTATCCGACGCTGAGGTGGCAATACACGGTATTGAATGCCTCCAACTTGACCGCTCTGGCATTAGGCAAATAGGGTTTGGAGTCAGAAAATACAGTGGAAGTGACGAGTCACGGGATCCCTAATTTGACAAATGATTTAATATTTTATTTTAATTAAATTTAATTTAATTTATTGCACAGCTCTAAAAAGACTACTGTTGACAGAATAGTAGACGTAAACATGAAGTTTGATACAGTAGGGGGTGATCCCGATTGACCACGGCTCGATTGGGTTCCACCAATCACAGCGACCGGTGCTTAGGAGCTTTGTAGTTTCAAGCGCTGTGAGTGGCTCGTGTCCAATTGAGCCGTGTCCAACTGGGTGCCACCCATACAGTAGGCTATAGTAGTAACTTGCAAATGGTTAGGCATCAGCAAGACTGCTGTTACAAAGCCTACCAGCAACAAAACCCGGACTAAGACGATGCATTAAGAGGTGGTGCAGTTAATCATACACCCGCACACCCACACACACACACACACACACACACGCGCGCGCGCGCGTGCGTTATATCAGTCTCGCTTAAAACTTTGTGAGTGATGCGATGAATCGCGAGGCAGCGGAACGGAAAGAGGACAGAGAGGGAGAGGTCTTTATTGATACAGGAAGAGAATTAAAATATTTGGCTGAGATGTAGGAGAAGGCGGCACGGAACTTAGCGGAACAATGCATGGGGAAGGATAAATGATCTTGATATCTGGTGACAAGGGGATTAAAGGTTGAATGAAGCTCAGAATTTAACTGAAGGAGACGTCGCAGATATAGAGGAGTACTGGAGCGAAGGAGAGAAAATACAAGACAGCATAGGTGGAGGATAAAACGTTGCCACCGGATCTCTGGTAATACGGAGATATATGGTCGTATTTACGGACGCAATAGGAGAAGCGAAGACAAGAGTTTTGAATACGCTGCACACGATTTAACAGTTGTTGGTTGAGAGCGGGAACATAGACAACATCAGCGTAGTCAAATAACGAAATAACAAGTAGTTGAGAAATGAGGAGTTTTTGAGAGCCAGAAAGAATGTGACGAAGAAGATAAAGAAGACGCAGACGTGCATAAGCGGCCCGACACTTGACGACCACAAGTGACTCGAATGTCCATGAAGAGTCGACATGGACGCCAAGAATTTTGATAGTGGAGGAGCGAGGAATTGTAGAAGAATTAAGAGCAATATCGAAGGATTGAATACAGAATAATAATGTTGAGAAACCGGCTATTAGTAAGGATGATTTAGAAGAATTTAGATGCAGCGCATTATTAGTGGACCATACAGTAATGGATTCTAAATCCTTATTTAAAGCAGAACAGGCTGCTGAAGCATCGAATGGGTGAAAGGATTTGAGAAGAATAACATCATCTGCATACATGAAGAGCTCAAAGGACAGAGAAACATTAGACAAATCAGAGATAAATATATTAAAAAGTAAAGGTCCGAGAATGGAACCTTGGGGCACTCCAGAGAGAACGGTACGAGGAGAGGAGAAAAGAGGAAAAGGATTATAAATGAGGACTTGCTGTGTACGGTTTGTAAGAAACGAGCAGATTCGCGATTGGGCCGACTGAGATAGACCGCATAGCTTGAGTTTGACTAATAGTAGGTCGTGGTTGACAGTTTCAAAACTGTGTTGACTTTGTGAAGTCAAGCACGACAGAAGTAAGGCGCTCAGTGTCGAAATTTCGAAGCACAATGTTGGAAATGTGAAGTAATTCCGTAGTTGTACTGTGTGACCTACGAAAACCCGACTGACAAGAGGGAATGTCATTAGACATTGAGATAAAGGCATTCAGTTGGGAGAAACAGATACGCTCAAGCAGCTTCGAGAGGAAAGGGGGGAGTGAGATAGGGCGGAAGGATGAAGGAGAAGAGGAGTTGCGAGTCTTTGGAATGGGAAGAACGATTGAGTGCTTCCAGGAGAAAGGAAAGGTACTGTGAGTAAGGGAGAAATTTAATATATATAGAGAGAGAAGGGGATCGAGACATTGAGGGAGGCACAGCAGGAGCATGCAGCCAGAGAGATCCAAAGGCCCGGAGAAAGTAAGGCGTGTGTGCTTAAGAATATTATAAAGATCACCAGGTGTGATCGGGGTAAAGTTGAAGGTTTCGGAAACTTGAGGAGAGGAGGAAAGAAGGTGACTAAGAAAGTTAAAGAAATAAGATGAAGAAGAGAGAGCATCTACAAAATGATTATTCAGGAGGGAGCGATTTCGAAGGTGCTGAGGTATAGTAACAGAGGAGAACTGTGTATCGCCAAGAACGCGGAGATTCCTCCAGAATTGGAGTGAGGAATTGGAGGCGAAGGAGGTAGAGAGGAATGATTTTTTTTCGTGGCAAACAGCACTATTTACGTCGTTACATAAGCCACTATACCGCTGCCAGTCAACATTCTGTATTCGCCTGTATTTAAGAAGGGCACGCCTTTTTAACTCAATGAACCTTCCGACCGCGTCACTCAGCCACGGCGCAGGGGGCCGAGAAACACGTCTATAAGTCACTGGAACGAGCCAGTTAAATACTGCAGTAAGAGAGGTAGTAAAATGAACGACCATCACATCAACATGCGACGCCGCATAAATAGGAGATCAGTCAATGAGCCCCAGCTGGCACTCGATGTCATCAGGTCTAATTGCATGAATATTTCGCGACAAAGAAACACGACCAGGACGACGTGATCGCGAAATAGCCAGCATCGCATAGATGGTAAGATGGTCACTCACACTGATCGCATCGCTGACCACGCACTCAAACACATTAATGCTTGATAAGACAAACATAAGGTCTAAAATAGTTGACAAGTTACTTGTTAAGCGAGTTGGATTGTCAATTAATTGCATGAGCGAAAACAGCGATGCGATATCAAGCAAGAGTTTTGCGTTATGATCAGTTTGACCGAGCACATTGGTATTGAAATTACCCAGACACACAATTGCATCAGTTATGCATGCCGCATAAAATAGGCACGACTCAATATAACGCAAATCCGAAAGAAACGCACTGAAGGTGGAGGGATACACGCAGATGATCACCACCCGACCACGGGCCAAATAAAGGGATACGGCAACAATATCGGTGAGAGTACCCACTGGTGGGATGCCCAAGTCGATCGGGGAGAATCGGAGTGACTCTTCAACGTACGACGCGATACCGTCCCCACGGCTCGTGGATCTGTCTGACCGAACAAGCACGAAGTTGTCGATGTCCGCAGATCCAGAGTCGACCGAATTCCTCAATCAAGTCTCCCCGACCGCCAGAACATCCAGACAATGATAAGCGATAACGTCCCTCACCAACGCAACATGCGGAATGTATTATCCAGATGGAAGTCAGATAAGCAATCTGATTATATGTGTTGACGGTCATT